TTTTCTCATACCCCCCCTCCCCATCTTAGAATTCAGGTTTAGCTTCCGGCCCCAAATGGATATTTCTTACTAGAAGACTTCTCTGGTGGGGCCGGGTGTGTGGGAGGGGGCCTCCTGCCAGTGCTCCTCGCATGGAAACAGATGGGATGGAGCCACAGGCCAGTTGCGGCCATGTGTGGGAGGGCAACTGTTGGGTCCTGGGAGGAGGGCAGGGCTTTGCTGTCCGGCCCCAGTGGCTTGTTGTTTTTGTTTGGTAAACTTGAGTGTTCTGTACTAAAAGGTCATTTGTTTGATCCTGACATTAGGAGCTGCATCTTGGCAAGCCCAGCCTCACAGGTGTCAGTGTTTTGCCAAAAAGCCCTGCCAGTTTGCCTACAGTAGTTTAACACCTCTGGCAATCTTAGTGCATTTGCCACATTTCATGTGTAGCTAGTGCCCCACTGTGTTAGTCTGTCACACTGTAATATGGAGAGAAACGTGGAAAGAAAAGGAAATGGGGCTGCAAAGTCGCCCAGCTGGGTAAAGGGAGCGAGTATCTGGGAGGCAATAAATTGCTGCACTGTTATGTTGGTTCCCGTAATGTGGGAGCAAGGAGGTGCACTGTAGCAGAAAGATGCTGTTTTGTCCAAAGGAGCAGGAATCAGATCAGCTCCCCTGCCCTTTTGCTAGGAGGCCGGACTAAATGACCTCTGAGATCCCTTCCTGAAGGTTTCTGACTCTGTGAGGCAGACCCCTCGAACATGCCACTGTTCACACAGCACTCTGCATTTGGGCAGGAAAGGTCTTTCTTCCACAGCGCCATGTGTGCTTCCGTGCCTGTGGCCTGCTCCTGCTTTTTCTCGGTTTTGCAAGAGTATTTGCATTCTCGATAAGCTGGACATTTGTGCAGCCGCTAAGGAGAGATTCAAATGCTGCCCGGCTGATTAGCAGAGTGTCCAGCTAGGTTTTTGTTTCTAGTTGTGGTGCACTCTCGCACATTCCTCGGTGCACATAAAAACACATCTGCACATGGATGAAAAAGATTAGAGGAAACACTGATAAGTGTGCACACTTCATGAAGCACGTGTATGTATCGCTTTTTGGCATGCAGTTGCGGGGGGGTAGGGAGCCTTCTGAAGTGTATGGAATGTCTCATTGGTATGATAGGCCATTTGAAGAGGACAAACCATTCAGGAGAGTTTTCCCTGAACTTCTTATTTTCATGTTTAATGGTTTTGGGAGGAGAGGGGAGTAAGAACATAACGGCCGTACTGGGTCAGACCAAAGGTCCATCTAGCCCAGTAGCCTGTCTGCCCACAGTGGCCAGCACCAGGTGCCCCAGAGGGGGTGGACCGAAGACAATGATCAAGCGATTTGTCTCCTGCCATCTCTCTCCAGCCTCTGACAAACAGAGTCCAGGGACACCATTTCTATCCCCTGGCTAATAGCCTTTTATGGACCTAACCTCCATGAAATTATCTAACGTCTCTTTAAACTCTGTTATAGCCCTAGCCTTCACAGCCTCCTGTGTGAAGAGTGTTCTGGTGCAACTGTGCCTGAGCCAACACTTGAATATAAATATCTTTAGATAGGGGAATCTCTTATGAAAAGGCTTTGGGGTTTCTAGGGTTTTTTTTAACCTTGTCCATTTTAAATAGACTTTGGTTGTTCTTGCACTTTGAAGTATGACAAGTTTGAAGTAGGGCCCAGGTGGAGGAAGAAAGTTTTGTAATGTCAGCTGTTACCTCAGTGTGAGGAGATGGAGCTGTATGACGTATCTGGTCCTCTCTTGTTCCTGTGATTTATTGGCTTACCCTGTTGAAACTTCTTCAATTCAAACTTGTATAGAAACCACTGCTCTACCTAGGCAAGAGTCCATCTCACATGGGCTTACAATGAACTGAGTTTTAACCCTAAACTCTGAATTTCCTAGCTCTTGTGGGTTTAAATTGGGGATCCTGTTTGCGCATAGGGTTTTTTGTGGTTTAATTGAGCAGTCAATGTGAATTTTGTGGTATTTGTGTGTATATATGAGAGAGAGAAACATTTCCTAGAGTTCGAATAGACATAAACAGGTGGGTTTCCAGCAGAGACATTTGCATTTGAAAACCTGCTCTAAATGGACGGGGATTTCCCAGGAGAAGTAGCACCAGCAGCGAAACTTCCCGATCGATCAGCATAGAATCGAGTGAGCATTTGATGTGCAAAATCTTGGGGCATAAAGACAGGACCCAAGAATAAGCTCTTTTGTGGCTTTGTTTAATTCCTGAAAACTGTGACCAAAAGGCTTTTATCATTTAAAAAAAATGTGTTAATCGGCCAGATTTCGGTTAATAGGCTAGCTCACTGGAAAATATTGGAAGGATCTTTCATGAAATTGTAAACTCTATTTCAAGTTATAGTTCAAAATAAACATTGAAATCTGGACCCTGAACTTTTACTCTGCAATCTTTTTATCTCAGTAACCCTAAAAGAAAGGGGTGTGAGAGCCATGCACTAAACTCTACATTCCTCACTCCCTTCAGTTGAAGAGTTGGAGACATTTAATTTGTTGTGTTAAACTGTTTTTTTAATCACCTCTTATCTGACACATGGTTTTCTTTTCTAGCTCTAACTATAATGAAATCTTTTCCCTTGCTTATTACAGCACTTCTGTTCCACACCCAGCCTCTCTGGCCAAGTTGCCATTGGTACTTGGAGTTTATTTTGATTCGGGGGGGGAATCAAATGAGCTTTCCAAGAAATGCAGCTGTAAAAGATGACTTCTCGACTTTCAAATAAACAGTGAGGGTGTCTGGTGGAGAAACTAAGAATTGCTACAGTAAATTAGTCCAGATCTCTTCAGTCTCTCATTGCCTAATATTGTATATTGATGACACAATTCCTGGCAAACGTCCTTCACTCAACAGGATTAATTCATAACCACCCAAATAGCACCATAAAAGTTAGCAGGACTGCTTAGGGAGTAAGAACTGAGAGGTCAACCAGATAGATATTTATTTAAACAGGAATATTCCAGAGTAGCAATCATACAACTGGAGGGCTGAGGAGGGGGGAATGTCTCCAATGGTACAGAAACGTGTGTGCTCAGAACGTACAACACCCCTCTTCTCTGTGGGCTTAAGCGCCAATGCCGTTTACAGTAACCGTTCACGCTTTTTTCCCTGCAGGTTGTGTTGTGTGATTTTTTAATTTGAATGGAAAAGCCTTTCTCTCACCCCGGTGCAGCTGTGACATTAGACCAGTCCATTGTGGGGACAGCAAGCTCACTGCCTTTTGAGGCACAGTGTGTGATAGGCTGCGATTTCTGTGGCGTGGACACAATGCCCTTGTCTATTGATGTGATCGGGAGCCCCATATTTGCATTGGAGGACAGAACATGTCATCTGTAATGTTAATTGGCACCTGCCATCAAAGTACCGTGAACAAGCAGCACGGAATTTGGCCAAGAACCAAACAGAGGGCTCTCGGCTTTACAGAACGTGCAGAATTAGCCCTGGTGGCATTCACAGTGCAACCTTGTACTGAAATGAAAATGCCTGGGGTGTGTCATTGCACTTCAGGGGACTTCACTCTGTTTGCAGCCAGCCTTACACTTTTGCAGCGGCTTCCTCTCCTCTGTAAACCCGTTCCATTGTACCACTCCACTGGAGTGCCTTGCCAAACAGCCCCCAGATACAGTGCACGGGGCAGTCTTCTGTCTGAGTAGCAGAGGAGAGAAATTGTCACGCTTTCATAGGAGGCAAGCATAAGATGACGCTTCTGAATCCGAATCAGCTGCAGTTATCCCAGCCTACGGTGAAGAGAAGCTTTTCCACTGTTGTGGAGTGAGGGCAGAGGGCACGCGGCTGTTAGAATTGCAGCACCAGAGTGGTTAAAACATGTAGTTGTAGGAGAGAATGACTTCAGCTTTCCGGCCAGACTTGTAACAGCCTAGCTATGAACTTCTGCAGGTGATAGGCATTGCCTGCCAGTCAGTATCTTTAGGGATGTGAAAGGTTAACTGGTTAACCAGTTACCCATAGGCATTAGCCTTACTGGCATGCTTACCCCATAACTGGTTAACCGGAGGGCCGGGCAGGCCCAACTGTCAGGACCCCCTACCCCACCCATGGAGGGCCAGGCGGGCTGGCTGGACCCCAGCCACATGGTTAACTGTTTAAACAATTACAATTAAATCGTTTAACCAGTTAACTTTTATACTGCATAGTTACATTACTTCTTGGCACATCTAAGCCAGACAATGACTCTGATTTGCCTTTCAGCAGTCGTACAATATAGCGAGACGACTTTGTGTATTATATTCTCATTGCTGTCTCTCCCACCCTTGAGAAATCAAATGGGTTGATATAGTAGATGGAAGCAAGAGAAAAATGCTCTTAGCCTGTCTTCCTATGGCAGTGGTGGTCAGTCTGGAGCACTGTGCTTGCAGCAGATCGGTTAATTCACACCGTTGAATAATCTTCCTTCTTCCTTCTCTAAGGGCACGTCTTCATTCACGACGCTAGAGATCACTGTTCTGGCGTTTGATTTAGCGGGTCTAGTATACTGTCTGGCGTCTGTGCTCCTTACAGTTGCGAGGAGTAAGGGAAGCTGTTGGGAGTGTTTGTTCCCATCAGCCTCCCGCTGTGGGGATGGTGCCAAGCTCTGCTTAAGATAGCTGGAGTTGCATACCATAAGCCGAACTTCCAGATCTATTGTAGACCTGGCCCAAGGGTATGTCTACACTTCAGCAGCACTGTGATCTGGGCAGTAAAAAAACGCACCCTGAACAAGGTGCTCCCAGTAATAAAGCACCATCTCTGCTGGTGCTTTTCAGCACTAAAAGTTTTGAGGCAAAGCGGGGGGGAGGGATGTTTTTTCACACCCCTGAATGACTAAAGTTTTAGCCCTGACAGTGGTAGCATATATAGGGGCACAGCCTTAGGATAGGAGCATGCAGACAATTCAGAGACCCCGCCTGGGTGGATTCTGGCAGCAGTTTTATTACTAAATATCTTTATTTTTTTCCCCCTCCACAGAAAATACCTTCTGTAGTGGCGACCATGTATCGTGGCACAGTCCTTTGGACAACAGTGAATCCAGAATCCAGCATATGTTGCTGACTGAAGATCCTCAAATGCAACCAGTACAGACCCCTTTCGGGATTGTTACTTTCCTACAGGTATGGAAAGGGAATGGCTGTTCTGGCCATCCGATTCGGGGAATTCATACTTACAATGTAGAGCTGACACCACATTCTTCCCTGGTAAATACTGGATGTACCTCCCTTAACTGGGACTCCTTGGTCTGGCAACATCTGTGCTCCGGCATGGGCCGTGGATGTTCCTGGACACAGAACCAGAAACAGGGAGGTCTGGTGGCGGGGCAGGAGCGTGTCAGGGGGCATCGGCGACTGTGTGTGTGTGGGGGAGGGGGGGGGCGGTGCAGGGGATGGGAATGGGCAGCACAGCAGGGAGTTCTGGCCCCAGCAGTGGCTGTGCTGCTCCAGCTGTGCTCCACCCCAGCAGCAGTGGGGCCAGCAGCATCTGGAGAACCCGCGGGGCTAGGGCAGCATTGGAGACAGGCTAGAGCCCTAACTCGGTGGCAGCACAGGCAATGAGGGGAGGGGCCTTCCCTGGTCCAGCAAATCCCCTTATTCGGGGTCAATCAGGTCCTGAGGGTGCCGGACCAGCGTGGTCCAACCTGTAGCCCCCTTTTACAGCATTTTCTGTTTAACGATTGTCTGATTTCCACCTTGCTTCCTGCAGCTTTGATCAAGAAGGTTTGTCACTGAGGAATTACAGCAGGTTTTTAGGAGGACGCTTATCTAGGTTTTCAATCTGTTGTTTATAACCGTGAGGTGTCATCCCCTTCACTCTGTTTCTCAGATCAGGAGCGTTGACGTTGCATCAGACCCAGAAAGGACAGAAAAGAAATGTGACCCACTGAAATGTAGCCAGACGTTAATATCTATTTGGTCTAATAAACCAATGGGAAAATAAAACACTTCCACAAAGTACGCTTGGCTAGTGTTATTGACCTAAATTATATCTAAAATATTAAGGGAGTGTCAGAAGATGGCACGGCAGTTCAAGTTGCAACTAAGATTTGCATTTAGAGCAGGAGACATTTATTGATTGAATTTTAGTTGCATACTTAATGGTAGAATTTTAGTCTGCAAATCTGATACTAACCACTCTTCAGAGGCCAGTTAAACTCTCCCTCTAACAATGTAATGTGCAAGAAAAGTATTGATGAGCAGAAGAAATACTTTTTAAAAAGCCTCCTTCAAACATGGCCCTAAATCTCATTTATTTGGGTTCTTGCTAATCGACAATCTTCCCCGTACCCCAAATGTGTCGTGCTCACATCTTAGATCACTTCTGAAATGTTTTCAACTGAAACAGTTATTCCCCTCAGTCAGCAGATCCTAAATGAGTTTTACCAGTAAAACTAGCTGCTTCTCCGATCCACGGCTGCTTTAATAGTCCCCTCCTCCCCCATGCTTTAGGGAGCAACTTTTTCTATGGGAGGAGCTTTCTTTCCTCCTGTCCTATCCCAGAATAGTACCAAGAGAGCAGGTATTGGATGGAGAGAAGCCTGGAATTGAGACCCACACTTGTAAAGGCAGTGGCTCAGACATTCCTCAGCAGGGAGTCCCCATCTGATGGCCCTGCGGAAGTGTGTTAGTCTGTGTCAATGCTACACAGCCTTTAGAGACACAGTCATGCACGACTGTGTCACTAAAAGTGAAGCAGTATAGCCTCTGTTCGTCAACTCTTTTGCTGACAAAATGCTTTTCCCACCAGCAAGAGGCGTTCCTGTTGCTGGCAGGAGCACAGTCCTGCTGACAACGCGCTGTTCACGCTGGCACTTGCCGCGGCTAAACTTTTCTTTTGGGGATATGAGGGGTGTGTTTAGCACCCACAAGTTTTTGTCTTTCAGTTGCCAGGGTAAACTAAGGCTATGTCTCCACTACCGAGTTGTCAACAAAACAAAAATCCCCAGAGGGTGTTCACGCTTTCTCCCTCTGTCGACAGATCATGTCCACATTGGGGGCACCACCATGGACAGTGTGAGCAATGCACTGTGGGTGGGTAACCCAAAGTGCAGTCTTGTGGGAAGACTGTCCACTAAAGGTTTCCTGCTTCTTCCTCTGAGGTCACTGTCAGATGGACCTCTGGTCCGATACAGTGTGACAGTTCCCATGTTGGAAGGCAACCATTTTATTTGGAGATGGGGGGAGAGTTTTCCATGCAGTGCATAACTAGCCACATTTTATGATGCTAACTGAGATTTAGCCAGTCAGCAGAGTTTACAAGTGCCTGAACTTTCCTTCATGGCCATTGTTCCTTTAACCTAGTTGAAGTTGCTAAAGCAAATAGGGAGAAAGGGATCTTGTACAATTGAACTATTACTCCAGTGCATCTGTTCACTAGTGCATATATTCTCATGCCATTTGGTCTTATGTATCCTACATCAAATTGCTATAACCATGTCATGGAACCTGCTAAATCTTCGTCTTCACTGGGCTTGTGTACAGCACAGTCCCCTCTACACAGACAAGATCCAGGCCTGTAATAGTGTCGTCAGTGCACAGCACAGTAGAAGGGCTGCATAGTAGTTCTGCTGCACGAGCTGGAACTTGTGGTGGTAGCTCCAAATAGCTTACAGGAACAGCCCCTCCCCCCCATCTTATCCAGCCAGCACTCCCTCCAGTGGCTCATGGTACGCGTGCACCTGTTGCATTGTGTTCATTCCATTTGTTCTTGCTGTAGATTGTTGGGGTTTGCACGGAGGAGCTGCATGCGGCACAGCAGTGGAACGGACAGGGGATCTTGGAACTGCTTCGGACTGTGCCCATGTAAGTACAGCACCTCCCGACTGAATTCGGAGACAAGAGCCCATACATGCTTATTATCCCAAGCAGCCTGGTGGAAAAAGGAATCATAGAATCGTAGAACTGGCAGGGACCTCGAGAGGTCATGGAGTCCAGTCCCCTGCCCTCACAGCAGGACCAACCACCACCTAGATCTTCCCTGATAAGAGGCAATGCTGTCACGTGGTTGGTTTGTAGATTTATCCTGCTTTAAATATGTTTTTGTGGGAACTGGGAAATCAGTGCAGCTCTCTTCACATGCCCAGAGACTTAGGTGGACACATTAGGTGGCCCAGGGATTTAGGTGGCAGCCCGTGGATGTAGGCAACCTCAGTAGTCGCCTAGGGAGCCGCGTTCAACGGGGCGCCCAATGATGACGTCACGCCATTGAGGGCTGTGGAGGCGGGGGCGCCGATCGCGCATTCCGCCTAGGGCCACTCCTGCACATTAACATGTGAGAACCCACATGCTCAGACTAGAGGGGAATGAGACTGAAACTTTTAATTTGCTTCCTCTTATGTCTGCAGCATTTTCTAATTCGCTCTTCCTAAAAGAATTGGCTGCTGAGCCAGAAAAATGTACCCAGGTGACCTTTCAGTACAGCTCGGAATCAGAGGGAAGGAGCCTAGTTTACAGTTAGCAAAGATTGGGCAGTTTTTCTGTAAATAAACTTTGGAGTCAGATCAGGTAGGCTAATCCACAGTAGGAACAGTGTTTGTTTTCAAGTAAGACTGGCTTGATGTAACTTCCCTCCTGTCACAAATGAAGTCACTGTTGGACAAGGACAGATGTGGTTTTAAAAGTTGTCTGATCTAAGAATTAGTGGTAGATTACAGTTAAACTGTTTGCTTCCTAGGCTACCTATCACTGGGTGTTTGTATTCAAGTGCTTTCTTGTATCCTTGAAGTGAGGAAAGGTGTTGTGGATCCAAAGGTTTTATATTAAATGTTTTTGCATGCACACACCAGGTCTCCATCATACACCCTCCGGCTTTTCTGGCCTTAACAAAGTGCTTTGTTTTCAAAAGTCCAGCCTAGATTTCTGGGACAGTCCAGAATTAGGCTCTGTCTGTTTCACTCGGAACCCTTCCTCTCAGCACAGGTGCAGACAGTCTGTAGGAGGACTCCAGGAGGGAACCTTTAGCTGGCTGTTCAAAGAGGAAACCTTCCATTACCTCTTTCCTCCAGGCACCTGTACTGAGCAAGCCCCATAATGGCAGGAGGTGCTTGTGGGAGTGAGTAACTTTGGGTCACTGCCTTTCTTTCTTTGTAGAGCTGGAGGCCCGTGGCTGATAACGGATATGCGAAGAGGAGAGACCATATTTGAGATTGATCCGCATCTGCAAGTATGTCTTTAGTTAGTAAATAAGTCAGCCCTTCTGTTGGTGGCCCCTCCCGTTTTCAGTGAAATTGAACTACTTGGTCACCTGGATCTTCCCACGGCCCTTCTTCATTAGGGATAAATCTGTGTCCTCATTAGCAGTCTCCCTCAGCGACAGTCCTTATGCTCAGCTTCTTGCTAGGCATAACATTAAAGATGCCTGTTTAGCGTTGATGTGCCTTGTGGCACTGCTGCATTCCACTCGTGACCATGAATGAATTGGTTCATTTAAGTGTTGCTGTAAAGTACTCAAAGACAATGATACCGGCTTGCTGCCTTCCTAAACTGTACCAAGGAGATCTCAGGGACTAGCACTGGTGCACGGGCTGGGTGTTGGGAAACATTGCTCTAGGATCCTTCAAGGTCGAAGGTGCTAAAGTTGTTGATGAAGGGCCAGATCTTGAAGTCGTTACTCAGTTTGTCCAGCTAGTGACTTGATAATTCCTCCCACCTTACAGGGTTCTCATTAAGTTGTCAGCTGAGGAAAGGGACCTCTGTGTCATTTTAGAGAGCTCGCTGAAGACCTCTACTCAATGTGCAGCTGTGGGGGAGAAAAGCACTTCCACTCAAGCCAGCAAGATGTAATTCCTACTTTTAAAAGCTGCTCTGTAACATTGAGTTGTTCCCTCTGGGTTCCCCTGACAGTGCGAGTCTATTCTTTGCACAAGGGTGCCCCCTAGTGTCCACATGTGTTTATCCAAAGGGGGAGGCTTTGGGTGATCTCCCTGCCTCCAGCCCAATCCTCAGCTCCTATTGGCCAGAAACAACCAGCCAATAGGAACTGACACCTGCCAGTCTCTCAGCTCCTGCTGGCAGAAACAGCTAGGCAGTAGGAGCTGAGAGATTGACCTGAGGGTTGGGTGCAGTACAAACTTCTTCCCGTCCTGGAGCGGAGAGCCACATGGAGGGAACAGCCTGCAGTTTTAAGTGGTCTGGGACTGCAGCAGCCAGGGAGCCCAGCTTGCGAATGAGTGCTGCAGGGCTGCTGGCCGGGAGACACTTAGGTAAGTGCCTCCCAGCCACAGCCTGCCTCTGGCACCCCTGCCCCTCCCACACCCCAACTCCCTCCCCCAGGTCACCATCCAAGCACCTCTCTGCCCCAGGTCACAACTCCCTCCCAAACTCTGTACCCCCTCCTACACGCCTCCCCCAGGCCAGAATCCTCTCCTCCGTCCAGATCCTCTCCTGGATGCTGCACCCAAATCCCCTGCCCCAGGTGTCAACCCCATCCTTCATCCAGTCTCCCTCTCAGACCTCACACCGTCTCTTGCACCCCAGCCCCTTACCCATTACGCCCTTCTGCACCATCTTAGACTCCGCACTGCCACAGAAAAGTGTGGCCCTTGACCACTTTCCAAAAACTTAGCGTGGCCCCCACCAAAAATTATTGCCCACCCTTGGTCTAAGGAGAGGAATGGAAAATATTACAGTGCCTTGATGTGAATTAGTGGTGTGGGCTTGTCTGGAATAGTGTGGACCGTCTCAGAAAGGGTAATGCAAAGCTAGAAGGGATCCAAAGAAGGGTAATAAGAGTGATCAAGGGCTTGGGAAAGCTCCAATGTAGAAAAATTGAAAAATTAGGGCTATTATATCTTAAAAAAGGGATGAATAAGAGGGCGTAACATTTTATAAGAAGCCACACAGTATGGAGAACATGGATCAGGAACCTCTTATCTCTCTTATAACAAAAGGGGTGGACATTGAAGTACATTTCAATGTAAATTCAATGCCAGTGAAAGGAAACTCCCTCATGTATGTGACTGTGGAACTCAGTGCTGCAGGAAGTCATTAAGGCCAACCACGTAGTAAGAATCAAAACAAAATGGAATATGGATTTCAAGATTATCAAGGAATTTGTGATAAAACAACATTTGAAAGGGCTATTAAAGCTTGGGCTTTAAGCCAATGCGACTACTAGAGATCAGAGAAAGACTGATGCAGAGGCACCAGCTACGCACAAAGCTACCTACTGTGCGGTTCTTATACCTTCCTCTGAAGCATCCAGTACTGCCAACTCTCCAAGGTGCGGTGCTGCAACAATTCTGTGCTCCTCTGACATCAGTAAGAATTTTGCCTTAGTAAAGAATTCAAGATTTGGCCCAGTGTAGCAATTGTTGTATTAGCTAATTCCATTTGCTTTATGGTCCATACCTGTGTCTCTAATTGACCTACATAACTAGTCAATATCCTTACTGTAAAAGCTTGGATGGAATTTGATTTTAATGTACATTTTTCCAGGGGAATGTATATTTAAAATCCTGATTAAAAATCTGGCCGAAACATAGTTCTATCAATCTCTCAGACTTGTTTTAGTTGGTTCTTGGATTTGAGTATAATGAACATGAATACAAAGCTTTGAAAGATCCATGATTTCTTACCAGGGGAATGCATGACTGAAGCACAGGTGTTTAACAGTGAAGGCAACACTACACAGACGCTTAGGGCAGATTGTAAAGAATCCTTTTTCATGTGACTCTGTAGAAAATAGGGAGAGGCAGGATGAAATGAACCAAACAGGAATCGGACAAGGACTGAGAGGAACTCCCATCCTTGTACAGGACATGACATGGGATGTTGAATAAGCCCATGTGGACATGAGTTGTACATTTCGTATAGTCCACAGCACTACCAGCAGCTCATCTCGCTCTTACCCCAAGCTAGAGCATTGGTTCAGTATTGACGTGATAGGGTGAGGGGTGAAGTGCCTGAGTCAATAACTCCACTTTCTCAGCATCCTTTTATCCTGATCTTCCACAAATTGCTGGTCAGAGCTGACCCCTTTGCTTAGCCCGTGATCTGACACGACCACAGCTGGAGGTAGGAGAGTATCGTGCTACCTTGGTATTGGTTTTGTTCTTCCACTCAAGCCAGCAAGATGCAATTCCTACTTTTAAAAGCTGCTCTGTAACATTGAGTTGTTCCCTCTGGGTTCCCCTGACAGTGCGAGTCTATTCTTTGCACAAGGGTGCCCCCTAGTGTCCACATGTGTTTATCCATAGGGCCCTTCCACATTCATGCTCCATTCTGGTCAATTTCATGGCCGTAGGATTTATAAGACTGTTCCAGCTATTTAAATCTGAACTGTCGGGGTGTTGTAATTATAGGGGTCCTGACCTATCAAGGAGTGGTGAGGGAAGAGCACAAGGTTATTGTAGCGCGCTCCAGCCTGGCCCTGTCCGCCGCAGGTCTGGGTGCATCGCAGGCCGGGACTGCTCTGGTCCTCGGGAGCAGCCCTTGTCTGTGATACACCCAGGTCTGCAACGGACAGGAGCCACTCTGGATAACTGGATCAGCCCCTGTCCATGGCAGGTCCCCCAGGAGGCTAGAGCAGCCCCCTGCCAGTGGTAGGTGGGGAGCTGCTGCAACCCCAACCAATTAACCGGAACCGGTTAGCATCACACATTAAGGGTGATGCTTACCAGTTAACATTTCATGCCCGTACTGCTTTCAGAGCTGGGCCTTCAGTCAGCAACCACCTCCCGCCAGCCAGCCAGCCATCTCTGAAGAGTGGCAATATCATAATCCCCTTAAAATAACAGCCCCCTGCAACTCTCTTTTTGGTCAGGACCTCCAATTTGAGAAATGCTGGTCTCCCTTCTGAAATCCCTATTGTGTAAGGTAACAATCCCGCAGAAGACCAGATTTCAGAGGGAGGCCAGGCTGGGTTTTTAATGGCCACGTATTTGGCAGCGTCGTATTCAGAACGGTTCTAAGTAAAAGTGTGTGGGGTAAGGAAGGTGAGCATGGGTGACAGAGATATCAGGGTGCTTGCTACAGATGCTTCTTCTGATGGGACTGATCCTGCAAAATGCTGAGTTGCTGGCAAGTGCCCTCCAGAAGTCAACGGGAGGAGTTACACTAAGCACCTAGCGCAGGGGTGGGCAATCATTTTTGAAGGAGGGGGGCACTTCACAAATTTCAGAAGTGGCTGCAGGCTGACGTGGAAGGGGCGGGGCCTCTGGTGGAAAGGGCAGGGTTGACAGCTAGCCTACCGGGAGTTTTGCTTGGCCTCGGGTCCCTCCCCCCTGACTTCTGGCCAATGGAAGAGACATGGAGCAGATGGGAGAGTACCAGGGGCTTGCCCCCAGAGCTGTCTGGGCTGGAGGCTTAGCATTCAGAAAACATCTGTGGCCTGGCAGCCGCCCGGCCGGCACAAGCCCTTTGAACAGAAGCAGTTGAAAGAGCTCGCGCCTCCGGGTCAGCTCCCAGGCAACGGGCCAGTGGGACTGAGAGCTGCCAGCCCTTCCAGTTGCTTCTGTTTAAAGGGCTTGTGCCTGCCTGGTGGCTGTCAGGCAATGCAGCCACCCAGCAGATGCCAGCCCTTTAAATAGAAGCAATTGAAAGGGCTCGCGCATCTCCAGCTCCCTAGCAATGTGCTAGCAGAGGCGGCAGCTGGGAGCCCTTTTAATTGTTTCTATTTAAAGGGCTCTCGTGATCCCTGCGGCTGCCAGGCAACTCGTTACCTGACAGGTGTGGGGAAGGCACAAACCCTTTAAATAGAAGCCGTTAAAAGGGCTCTTGCATCTCTGGCTCCCAGGCAACGCGCTAGGGGGTGGGGCCTGGAAGTGCCTCGCGGGCCAGATCAAAACCGTAGGAGGGCTGCCTCTGGCCCACTAAGAGGCTTTTGCCCGCCCCTGACCTAGCAGGATTGAGCTCTGAGGTAGAGCTAAGGGGCCATCGTATCACTTCAAGAGCTGTTCTTCCACTGAATGCCTGCTTCACCCTTCCCTAGGCTTCTCACTCGCATTGCAATGTCCTTGAGGGATGCTCGCAAGGGAAGGGAGACCCTGACTTTATTCAGTGCTGAAAAATTTGCACTAGTTTACTGGAAGTCAGTTTTGCCTTCAAATAGAATGACCTTCACCCTCCTGAGCGGACGCCTAGCCCTGAGCCTTGTGTGTCTGTCCAGAACGTGCTGGAAGTTGGTAATTGCAGACACTGACCTTGAGGTACCTTGGAAGGCAAGGACGGGGAGCCGAGGTCATGCAATGCAAAGCCAGCCAGAAATGCTGGTGGCTGAGTTTGACTGTTGCGAGGAGTCAGCCTTTTAGCCCACGGCAATGGCAAAGTGGCTTGCACTGGCAGTCTGGAAGCTGTGGGGATACAAATGGTGCATGTGAGTTTTTCCATTTAAAATCTCATGATTGAAGACCAGGTCGAGAACATCTAACACCCAGGCCTGCTTGAGTCCGTGTGCTGAAGCAAAAACTCTCTTTAAAACATGGCTGGAGCAGACGTCACTGTCATTTGTGCTGTGTATATACGAAAGCCAGGAAGAAAACTCCACGCTAGCATTCAAATGCATACAATGCATAGAAGCTGAGTTCATCTCTGTATTTCAACCTTAAAGTGGTTTAGCTTAACAGCATCCCCTAGTGGTGAAAGCTAAGAATAAAGGAATTCCTTCAGTAGGGAGGCCTACACTTGAATTTTTAGTTGCAGTGTTAAGTCGGAAAGTTGCTAGCAAAGAAGTGGGTGAAGTGGAAAAGTTGTGTTGTCTTAGAATGTACAGTAATTAGTCAGCACTTAGCTGACCTCAAAAAAGTCAGGCGTAGATATACCCATTGTATAAAGTCTGTACATGCAAAAATGAGTCCTGTGACACCGTACAGGCTGTCAGATTTATTTGGACATAAACGTTCCTGGCTAAAGCCCACTTCATCAGCTGCATGCCCCCGAAAGTTTATGGCCAAATAAATCGTAGTCTTTAAGGTGCCACAGGACTCCTGAACAGACTAACACAGCTGCCCTTCTGGGACTGTTCACAAGAGTAGTCTCTTCTGAGCTGGGAATTTCTAACCAGAGGTGAAGGACATTCATGTGTTGGTTATCAAAGGAAGCATTATGCAAAACTTCAGAGGACATGGTGCAAAAAGTAATTGTTCGTTGCTTCAGTCGTTGAGTGTGTCCGTGGTTTAACGTATCGGTACAAGGTTCCGAGTTGAGTGAAGGGTGGTAGTAATCTAGTCTGTCTGCAGACACACAGCATGTCCATTCTTCTTGTGGTGTGAGTCCTTGAGAAGCCTGTTGTGGGGCCGTAGTGTTAGTCCCAGGAGCTGATTTGGAAAGGAGCTATTCTGCACTCAGCTGGTAACAGGTGGGCTGTAATACTGTGCCTCGGGCAGCTGCTTTGATCCAAACCACACCCAGGAGAGTCATGGCTCGGTGGATCTTTTCAAGCAGGAGAGAGTCGATAAAGGGATTGAGACAGATGGCTCGAACCTGAGTGGAGTGAGTGCCAAATGCGCCTGGGATGATCTGAGCCGGCCCCCAGAGGATGACGAAGACAGCAGAAGCATTTGCATTGGAACGCAGCCACGACGGCTGTCCGGGAAAGGTAACTTGACCGAGTCGGTCCCCTTCTGCCCCACCCAAGCCCTTCCCTGTGTACTTGAAGCATTTGATTGGCACAGCCTTAGGGCTATTCTCCTATAGAGCTTGACAGGGCCAAGTGAGAGCTGGGCCCAGTCTTGAGGTTCATTGCAAAACGCAGCCCTGCTCGAATTCACAGAAAGGTTCAAAGTCCAGATGAGCCAAGGGTAGCTCTTGGGGAGCCCTCTTCAGGGGAGGAGGGGACTTACCGTTTCGGGTGACTGTCTGCCGTTAGCTTGGTTTTGGTGTTCAATTCCAATCAGAAACTCCAGAGTAAAACTCAGAAATCAAGCCCGTGTGACCTGAAACCAAAAGGCACCTGTGCAAAATAGTGGTTTCCCCCAGGGCTCTCTTTCTACTAGTGTTTTCAAGTATTGGCTGTCAGCTTGGACTGATATGGCCACAATAACTCAAATGGCACCTGTCAACACAGGGCTCCTGAGAACCTTGGTGGTTCCTCCTTATAGCGACGTGGCTTCTTGGCTAACCCAGGGGGTAGTGGTGGGGCACACATGCATTTAATTTCAGACCGGTTTTAATTACGGAAGTAAAATCCCATTTAATTGGTTAACCGGTTAAATGCAATGGTTAACCAGTTAACTGATTAAAGGCGGGGTGAGCTGCTCCTTAGTTTAAACCACATGATCTTTCAAATCCATATAGATTTATTAAAATAAAATGTGTGGAAGTCTGATTCATAGGAGCAGTTGAAATTAAAAGCCAATAATGATGGCTTCTGGAGACCTAATCAATGGATATTTTTCTGGTTTCCCCTTTATTTTAAACTGTAAATTGCATCCATTCTTCTATCTGATGGTATGTAATCACAGTACCTAGGACATCAAATCCCTCCACTTCCCCGGCCCTCAAATGAAAAATCTGGGACATCTATACAAAGCTGTATTATGCCCTTGAAATGATTCTGAAATGCTGTATGCAGAGATTTTCCCAATCTTTTACAAAAGACGGCTGCACTTCTTAGGAAAACTTGCAGGCACATTTCCCTCTCATGGATTTATCTATCAGACGTTACTGAAAAAATGTGAAGGTTAAGGACTGTATTGAATGTGTATTTGAAGATAAAAGTGAATTAAGTTTCATGGTGAACTTTTGCCCTGTGGAACATTCAGTTCAGTTTCTTTCTTTTTTGGAGCCCGCTCATATGAGGGGTGTTTAAATTAACGGACAGGCTTGCAAAGCCAAATGTGGAAGTTCAGGGAATCCTCGTTAATTAATCTGAAGGGATAAATTTCCATTCTGCCACCTGGGTTGGAAAATTGTCAGCATCCAGGAGTTAGAAGTGTCTGGAATTCAGTCGATTTGGGAGACCTCTAGAACCAGCACCCTTTTTTCCTTATGGGAAGGGGTAGGTGAGAGACCTAATTGCTCGGCATTGCCCCCTCTGGATGACTTCTTAGTAAAGGTGGTACCCTTCCTTGCTGGAAGGTTGGATGTACGTGGGGCACCAAAACGGGAGAACTGAAACTGGCTGCAGTGAAATAACCTCATAAGCCCTGAGGTGTCAGAGGGCTCCTCTTTGTGCATCCAGCCAAAGGGGGTGAGCTCAGTGGAATATCTGTTATAGGAAGAGACACCATAAGAAGCTGACTCGGTCACATGCTGGTTAGTTGGCGTTTGTGGGGGGGTGTGTGATACTAAATCATGTTCAAACAACTTCTTTGCAGATACAGAGCAAATCAGGGAGACTTTGCGGAGAGGGCTCGAGATTAACAGCAAACCTGTTCTACCTCCAATAAATGCACAAAGACAGAATGGGTTGAATCATGACCGAGCACCGTAAGTATGATCCTGTGCTCTTCAGAAAGGGGAGAGTAGCAGAGCTCACAGGGAAAACAAGATGACAGCTGGGGGGGCCATTACATGGGGAGCAGGGGAAAGGACAACAGTGAGTACTTGCCACCTAGAAACTCAGAGGCAGACTAATTGTTCAGGGTGGTTTAATGGTAGAGTAATTCAAGGGAGATCTTATACAGTAGGATTGTGTCCCAAAAGAAGTCTGTTGGCTTGAGTTCTTTGAAGTTGGACTGGAAAAGGCACCGGAGAACAAAGCTGCAGTATCCTCCAGAGAGTTAGCTGGACTAGGGAATATTAAATCTTTTTCCTAAGTAACTTGGTGAGTGCATGGCAAATGGTCTACTTCAGGCTTTGGCAACCTATGGCTCAGGGTCTACTTCAGGGTTTGGCAACCTAGGGAGCCTGATGTGGCTTTTCTGGAGCCCCAGCTCAGCCCCCTCAAACTCTCCCTGCAGCAGGGAGCCAGCGCTGGTGCTACAGCCTTATGGCCCCTGCAAGATTGGAACACCAGTGCTGGAGGAGAAAGTCCTGAGCCTCTGCACGGGATCTGGCGTGCGGGGAACAAAATGGCTCAGTCCACCACCCTTTCCCTTCCCCCGGCGTGCAGAACATCGGGAACCAGCAGTGGGTCTGTGTGCGCTACCGTTTTCTTTCCTCTGGGAAACACTTCCTGGAGGCTTCCCCTGCAAATCCTTCTTGGCACATGGGAGCAGAGGGAGGCCGTGTTATATGCGGCACGAAAGTAAGTAAGTGGCCCCCCCGAACCCCCATGCCCATACCCCCACACCACCACCCTTCTCCCCCCGGCCAGACACCCTGTCCCAGCCCCTCCCAGCCCCCTGGCCAGACAGTCTACTCCCAGACCTTGCACCTGCACCCTACCTCCTACTCAGACCTTGCACCCTCACCCCTTCCTCCGCCCCACGTCCCACCCATATCCTGCACTCCCATCCCTATCCCATTCACTGGCAGCCCTGTCCCACACACTGGACCCCTCATTTTTGGCCCCACCCCAGAGCCTTGGTGGGGACCTGCAAAATCCACTAACCCTGGGACCCCAGGAAAGTAAAACTTGTGTGAGGCTTTGAAGCTCAGTCCTCCCTGCCCCTCCCCCTAGTATGGGCCTGGCGCACCAGGGGAGTGAGGTGTTTCAGTTGGGGGCCACATCAGTGAGGGTTGGAGGTTTTGGAGGGTGTGTGTATGTATGTTTGGGGGTTTTTTTGCTTCTCCATTGTGTGGTCCCTGACTTTTCTGTGGTTCAGTGGCCCCCAACCCAAAAAAGGTTCCCCACCCCCGCCATAAATAAAGACCTTTTATGTTGGGCATAATATTTTACTGTATTTAAAATGAAACCTTGCCAACAAGTCCCCAATTGGGGCCCAGCCCCCATCTAACCACAGCATCATAATACTCCTGTATCCCCCCCACACACCAACCCTCAGCCCATCATACACCTGAATCCCTGCACCCTTATACCCTCACATCTTCAGACTCCTGCACCCCCACATGCCCAGCCCCCTGCCAGAAGATTGACAGAAGACCGCCTGACTGCCTGCATGAAGCTGGATTTGACAAGTTATGATGTAAACTCCAAAGAACTGTGTGAAAAGATGCAGCAGCAGAAGCCCCATCAAATAAAGTCTTTGACTACAATGTTTCGTTTATGCTACTATTAATCATTGTCGATTGTCAATAATATTAAGTTGTGTATTTTCAGTCATGCCAACGTGACTTCCTGTCTGGCTCTTTGTTGACCCTTGTTCTGAATTTTGATGTAGTTTGGCTCTTGGGTTTGGTTTGGCCTCCCAGCCAAACTATTCAGGATCCCCTGTCAGAGGCTCCAAGATCTACTGGTAGATCCTGATGGACTGGTTGGTGACTACTGGTCTACAGCATGTGCATTTTTGCCCTTTCGGGGGCTTCCCAAGCTACTTATACCTGCGACACCAATTGCCGTTCCCGTTGGTACCGTTTTTCCTGAGAGAACAGTAGAGAGAGAGAGAGCGAGCTTAGCATTGCGGTCAAGCCTATTCGTACCACAATTTACCTACCGTGAATGTCTGTATCTGGAGGATCTCATTTTCTGGACTCAGTGCTTGTTTTCTCTTAGGGAGTAGCTGCTGCTAGTGGGTCTCCAAAGCAGCCATTAAAAGCAACAAACAGTAGGAGGGGATTGTCATCCAAATGTATCTTTGCTGCACGGTTCTCCTCTTTTTGCTACCTTTTTGTTCCCTTCTCCCACTCCAGCCTTTGTCCAAAGAATGGAGGTCAGTGTGAAATCCTCTCTTCTACATCGTGCCAGAAATGCTCGTTGTCCTTCCAACTGCTCCTTTCCCTCCTCCTCCCGCTGTTTGCTGCTGTTCTTGTGCTAGGTCGTTCTTAACTGAAGCATCCTAGCCAATGCCGTGCCGTTCTTAGCACTTGCTTAGAGCCCTCCCATCCTTTTTCCTGTTTCCTTCTCTCTGTTCTCCGTTGGTCTGATTTAGACAGTAATCTTTTGGGTCACGGTGTCTCTGAGAGGCACGTTGCTAATTCCCGATGCGATATAAATATTAAGCATTGTGAAATACACATGGTTTGGCTGTTTTTTTTAAAAAAAAAAGCATTTGTGATTTTTCATCCCTTCAGAAATCATGCTTCGATTCAGTTTAATAATCATGGGGGGCCGGATTCTGACGTTCTTATTTATATTGAGTAACATCTTGCTCCATGAAGAGTGGCCCCGTGAGAAATGTTTTGTTACTACTTGTGAGCGATCACATCTGCTCATTGAAAGGTTGAAATTTACCAAAAATCGTCCCCTGATCTGCTATAGGATTGCTCATGAGTCCTGTGCTACTGGCATGGAATTAAATAGGCAATGCAACTCCTGTCTTCACAACATGTCAGGGACAGCAAAACATTTTGGGTCCTTGTCAGTTTGAGGAAGTGTCTGATATACATGCGCTAATATTGGACGGCAGCTGTAATTCAGACAAGACAGGCATTCAGGGATCAGATAAACAGGGCAGCACTGTGACAGAGCACTGAGGCATTGATGGGCACTTTAGCAAGGCTGAGAAGTGGAACACGTGCATAAATGTTGACATGTGTTTTTAACGGCTTGAAGGCAAGGCGGAAGGTGAATCAAATATGAAACCTCCTGACCTTGGTAATGCCCATTGTAATGACTGTATCTCATTTCCTTATCTTACCAGCAGTTCCCCGAAACTGAAAGGATAACTGCTTGGCGGTCCGTGCTTGCTTGGAAGATCAATATGTTACTCTGCAGTCTGTAGTTACAGCTCTGAAAACAGCCACCCTGTGACTCTCCTTCAGGGAAGACAGACTCTAGAGAGCAGTGTTTCTTTCTCGGAGTCACTTTGATGGTACCTAGCACCCTCTGTGTTAAGAGCTCTCCCCCACATCAAACAGCCATATGCTTCCCCCATGCGTTCCAGGCTTGTTGCTTTCGGAGACATTGGCTTATAAAGAGGTTTTCACTTCGTACTGCTGCTGCTTTTTTCCCAGATCACTGCAGTCGTGGCAGAAAGTGCAGTGAAATCTCTCTCTGTCCTGGGAAAATGATTAATGTTGGAAACCGTGTTGACTAGTTCGCTTTAATTACCACAGTAGTAAACATCTCGTTTCAGATATGGGGCCGTCGTCTTTACTTATAAGCCTATTTAGCACATTTTCCCAGTATAGACATTCCTCCCCTAAGAGACACCATGAAGTACCCTTGGATTCTGAGCAGCATTAGGTCACGTGGTGGGAAGAGCTTCACTGCCACTGATACTAAAGCTGCTGCAGCTGGTGCCGGTTCCATTTCTTTGAGGTGTGTGGACGAAATCAAATTTCCAGTCTTTATGCAAGTGTCAGGGGATGGGGAGAGCAAGGTTAAAAAGCAGGAGTCAGGTTTGGCCTGTGCTTGGAAGTCATCACGGTAATGAAACAGCACCGTGAGCCTGAGCCAGGTGTTTCTTTGCTGCGTGGACATAGCTTTAGCCTCTCCGTACCTCAGTTTCCACATCTGTAAGATGGGGGTAGTGGCTCTGCCGTCCCTCACGAGTGTGTTGTGAGGCTCGATCTACCGAATGCTGCTGATGGGGCTAGCGTGTGATCATGTACTGTCGCGTGTCCACCAGACCATAAAATATCTACTTACGCCTTTGCTGGAAGCCGTGCGAACCAGTCTGATGCTGTGGGTGACCCTTCAGGAACGGGACAAAAGTATTCTCCGCCATGCAGCTGCAGCACCAGTCACAGTGCTGGACTTTTCTTGTGTAGTTGTTACTGCAGACCGAGTAGTTTCTTGTCTCGTACAGATATGACTGGAAGCTCTCCGCAGGCTAAGTCCATTGGACAATGGTTTTTCACAGTGGTTTAGTTCTTTTCAAACTCTGTTCATAGAAATTCAATACAAATGACTCGTCATCTTTAAGGATATTAAAAGGCAGGTAATTGACTAATCGAGTTGTCGATACAATTGGTATCGACTCCATGATTAGTTGATAAGGAAGCTGCTTATTCATTCGGAAGGAGCTGCCCCCGCTGCGGCGCCACAGTTCAGTTTTCACAGTGGTTTAGTTCTTTTCAAACTCTGTTCATAGAAATTCAATACAAATGACTCGTCATCTTTAAGGATATTAAAAGGCAGGTAATTGACTAATCGAGTTGTCGATACAATTGGTATCGACTCCATGATTAGTTGATAAGGAAGCTGCTTATTCATTCGGAAGGAGCTGCCCCCGCTGCGGCGCCACAGTTCAGACGTAGTTGGAGCTGGGCGCACAGGCAGCCCCGGTCCTCCGACATTTAAAATGCAGAGGCAACGTGGGGGTAGGGCCCGGACCACCCTGTTGGAGCAGCCTCTGTTGTCAGCCAGCCTGGTCCATGGCAGTGGGGAGAAGGCAGCTCCTCTCTGGGACTCCCCACAGACAGAGGCTGCTGCCAGAGCAGCCTCCCCACCCTGCTGCTGCCTCTGGGGGCAGGCAGCACCAGGGGGACAGTGCTGGGAGGAACCGGCTTTTGAGCCAGCTCCCCCCAGCACTGACTCCTGTTTCTCTCTCCCCCCCCCCTCCACCCCTGCCTCTGATGCAAAGGCAGCAAGGCGGGGGAAGCAAGTAGTCAACAGCTCACTTACATCCCTAGTAATGATTTATTTGGACCATAGCTAACAGAACTCTGCTTCGCTGCTTAGGAAGAATTGGGCTTATATGCACAAATACGCTTACTAGCATGCGTTACTTGCTGGATAGGGCCCCCAGCATGGTAGGTGCTTTCCAGACAGACAAGAAGGCCTGGTCCCTGTTCCATGAAGCTCAGAGTCTAAGCCAAAAGGACTCTGCACAGGAGCCAGCTGCTGCTCTAACTCCTGGTGTAAAGTATCAGTGGCACTTGTAGAGTCAAGCTTTGTTCTCTCATTTCTGAACATGGTAAATAGATCCTGGGAAGAGACCTTAAGAGCCTGGGAAGAGAACCCTCACTACCCCACTGAGAGGAAGGGGCGTGTTCTCTCCGCTCCGCAGATGAGGAAGTCCAGGATAACTAACTTGCTCAGGGCCAGAATTGGAGCCTGAGAGTTGTTAATTCCTAGTCCCCTTTCTGAACCTCTAGGTATGACAGGGTCGGCCACTCCCTGCTCAGCAGCGCCCCTCAGTCGGCACTCCACCCCCGGGCTCAGTCACTCGCTCTGCCGCCCCTCGC